AATACCTCACCAGCAGTCACCATCTGATTATTAATTAATAGTACCACGAAAAAGATAGAACTTTTCAGAATAACCTTCTTGACCAATGTACATCTCTCGATGTTCCAAATCTTTTTGCTCATTGCCTTATAAGAAGTGAATTATTAAGGCTTGGCAAAGAGAGAAGAGTCTCCCATAATCTCTGGTCAGAATTCCCTAGAATAATAGTCATACATTTTACTAGTCAAAGAAAACAAAACATAAAATAGCAAGTTTTTCAAACTACAGCAAAATTCTTGAATTGTCTACTGATTTTTTTATCTCCTTAATATAGTTTGATGACCTTATGGAAGATTTTCCAGTATCTCTCCAGAGGGGACGTATTTACAAAGAGTAAAGTGGGAAGGGAACAAAATCAGAGGAAGAATAAAGATCACAAATGGATGGACTTTAAAACTTCTGCCTCACCCTTTAGTTTTCTTCCAGATTCTTGTATTGTAAGAGTCTCAAGCATTATTATTACCTATGATTCTACACTTGCACTTTGTCAGCCTTGTCTTCTGAGAACTTACTTTCATATTCCCTAAATCATCCAAAAACAAACCAGATTTAGAAACAGTCCTAGACTCTAAGGTATTTTATCATTCTTTTCCACATTACAACTAATTTTACCCTCTCCTCTACTTCCCATCTCCTCCCAAGCCCTTGAAATATGTCAGTCTCAATTATATTGTTGACTTTTCAATCTGGACACTGTTCATTGAACTGTCTGGCTGTGAAACTACACTGCCACATATCAATAAAGTTTTGGGGATTTAGAGATTCAGCAGGTGGATGATGTGTTGTTTATGTTAGAACAAACAACCCCCATGTGCTCAGAGCCCACTGCTCTATGGCACAATAAGGCTTATTCCTGAGACACAGAGAACCAAGGGACAGGGGCAGTTTGAGAGCCTATAGAAGGATAACTGAGCGAAATACTAATTTGTATTTATTCCCCCTCTATGTTCCCTTTCATCTCATTTCAGACAAGGAGCCAGGCCTTTATCAATTCCTTCCCTCAGTGATATTTATTTATTTATTTATTTTGTAAGGAAGATCAGCCCTGCGCTCACGTTTGCCAATCCTCATCCTTTTTTGCTGAGGAAGACTGGCCCTGGGCTAACATCCGTGCCCATCTTCCTCCACTTTATATGGGACGCCGCCACAGCATGGCTTTCCAAGTGGTGTGTCGGTGCACGCCCAGAATCCGAACCCCGGGCGCTGCAGCGGAGCGCACGCATTTAACCGCTTGCGCCACCAGGCCGGCCCCCCTCAGTGATATTTAGAAGTGGAAAACAGAAGTCACTTTCAATCAAAGGCTCTTCTGTCTTTTGCAAACATCTAAGTTACCTGCAAAGAGTATGCCGGGGTCCCAGGGGGAAGAGGAGAGGGGTGCTTTTGAGAGCAAAGAGAAAAAGGGGCAAACCCAGAGGCTGGGAGGTAAACAAAGGTTGGTGGGTCCCAAGGTTAAGAGAGATTCACCTTCAACTCCCCAGCTCTTCAGAACGGAAAGGCCAGACCCCAGGCGCCGTGTCTTCCCAACTATTCCCATGCCAAGCACAGCAAAGCCGCTGGATCCAAGGGACCATGCAGGCTAGAACAGAGGGCCCCTTAGCAGAAACTGGTGGACCATGACAGTGTCCAGAGGGGCCAAGACCCCAGGCCACTGGCACAACACTGAGTCGTACAGGACCTTCCAGCTGGATTTAAAGAAAATTAGAAATGTCACGTTTTTTACACATCCTAGTTGGTACACTAAGATTCATGTGGGCACCTTCTGTGGGGGCTGAGTGACCCATACCTGCATCCAACACTGACTATAGGTGCTGGAATTTAGACTAATTCATCCTGAGCCTGCGGGCATGACTACATTGTAGAATGGGTGTTGAAAGAGGTGAGTGACAACTCTTGAAGAACATGACTGATCAGCGAATACCTAGGGTCAGGGATAAGTTTAGGTTTGAAAGAGTACTTGAGCATGCTTTAAAATCCCTGGCCAGATCAGCACCTCATTCAAGAGTAACAAAATACAAATCACTTCTTTGTTACTGTTATCTTGGCTTTGTAGAAGTGAATTCAAAACAGGACAGTATCAACTAACGAAAAATAAATAAATAAAAGGACTGTTTCCAACATTGTATAACTTGTATAAATTAAATACAAACAAACAAACCTTGGGCAGATACAAGGTGGTCAGAGAAGGAAGTGAGGACACCTGTAGCCTTGTTAGTTTGCTAAGATTAACGTTCTCTGTAATTCTTACAAAAACATCTAGGAAGATTTTAAAGTCTCTAAGTTAATTTCTCTTTTTTAAAAATTAAAATTCCCCCTGGAGAGGGAGAGGCATAGAGTAGCCAATAGACACACTACCTGGGGAAGGGGCCACTGTGCTGGCACAGCAGTAGGGAAAGCTATTCTGTGTCTGTTGGAAATGACAGTTACCAGAAACTTCAGGTGCTTTCCAACAACATTTGCAATAACGAAACTCCCGCCCCCCCGGGGAGAGACATCTGAATCTTGGTTAGGAAACATCACCAAGAAACTGCTGATCTTGGAGGCTGAGAAACGGAGCAATGCTCGGCTGATACGCCTCCCTCTCCGGCTTCACGGCTTAGTACTTACTGTCCCCCTTGCTCGCCCGGCTCCAGCCACGTTGGCCTCCTGGCGGTTCCCTCCACCTTCGGCCTTCCCCTGCGTTCTCTCTGCCTGGAAAGCCCTTCCCAGACATATCAGTATGGCCCATTCCTGCACCCTCTTCAGGTCTTCACTCAAATGGCGCCTTCTCGGCGAGGTCTTCCCAAAATTGCAGCCCCAGCTCCAGCACTGCCTTCTGCACTTACCACGGCCTGACATGTTACATATTTTTACTTAGTTTGCTTGTCGTCTGTCGCTGCCCACTAGATAATCTTCCATGAGGAAAGGTACTGAGTCTTTTGCTCAATGCTGTGTCCTCAGCCCCTAAAAGTGTCTGGCACACAGTAGGTGCTTAATAAATACTTATTGAAAGAATAAGTGCATAAATGCTCATGGAATAAATGTCCAAGTGCCTGGGCTTGCACAGCAAACAATGCTATAGTGGCTGTAGCCAAGCATCTGAGTATAGGGTGTGGGGCCCACTGACAACCAGAGTACATGCACTTCTGCTAAAATAAACAATCAAACCTCCTAACACCCACCAGAGGGCTGTGAGCAGGTGTCTTCAATTGCACTGTGATCAGAGGGCAGCAGTGGTCCAGGCCTGGGGAGCCTGGACTGCAGCACAGCTCTGTCCTGCATGGAAGGGGAGGGCAGATGGAATACTGCAGGGCGTGCCCTCCAAAGAGCGATCTGGATGAGTTCCATCCTCGCCGCACTTCTCCCAAAGAGGGAATATGGCAAAGGAGGGAGAGGAGTGTTGCCGGTTGCTCACCTCTACAAATAACATTACTTCTTTAGTGCTCTTCTCAAAAAAAGGAAATTCCATGAGAACAAAAGGGCTGGCGAAATTCCTATTTGGGGATAGGGAAACCATGCCACGTTTTTATTATACATGTGACCTGATGTAAAGCTCAAAGAACAAAGTAGTATAAAATACGATCCCTGTTGACATGAAGCTTATTCTTTTGATGTGGACACGAGCCTAAGAGGCAAGAAACAAATCCAGCAGCATTTTCTAACACAGGGTGCCCGAGGGCAGAGGCGGGCAGAGGATATGCTCTTCCTGGAGTCCGCATGGCATTCAAGTTGGAACGCAGAATTTCTTTGCATGTTCTTCTCATGTTTTATTTTTTAAAATCAAATTTTGTACTTACTTGTATTTGCATTGTAAAATTTGCACTGTAAAATTTTATTTTTATTACTTACCAGTAAACTTACTTAGCTTCTGTTTCCCACAACTTCAAGACAAACTGACATTCCACCAAGATGTGCCAAGAAATCCTGTCATTTTGGATTCTCCTTGGCACGGCGAACCCCCAGAGGTGTGGCCCAATTGGTAAATGTGGAATTTGGATATCACAAAAATCATCATCTTATGCCAAAATGTGTGATACAGACAACAACCGCTGTGACTGTCCAGGAAAGGCCAAAATATTTGGAAAGACTCTGCAGAGCCAGATAGGAAAAGTGTTATTCAAACAGCTGCCAGTGATACAATCTGTATGACACAGCCATTTTTTTGCCTTAGTTATACTACTTTTTGAAAATGAGGAAACAAGTCACTTTAAAAACAAATACATATTTTTTTTAATATAAATGGAAAGTAAGCACGCCGTAATGCCAGACATAAACTATCTTCAACTCTGGGCTCTTTTCAAAAGATACAAGATCATTTTTTCAAAAGATACAAGATGCACAGATAAATCACATTCATACCTTACAAATGTTAAATAGCAGACAATTTAAATTGATAATGAACAATGACTATTTTTCAGTAGCTTGAAATTTCAGTTATTCATTCCATAATTTTTACGAGTAAAAAAAGAGAGCTAATCATGTACCTTAATATTGTCTTTTATGTATTACTCAAAAGTACAAACAACCCTGAAGATAAAGTCGAGTCCCATGCTTGTCAGATGTATTATAAAAACACTGAGACATTTATCAGGCAAAACTAATACAATGAAAACTACCTTTAGAATATGTTTCACAAACACAAGTTCAACATTTCTCTTTGGTTCAGGAAATATAAGAGGTAGGTTCAAATAACATAAATGCCTATTATGTCACTAGATTTTCATTAAAATGTTGGCAATTTATATCAGAAATTAGTAGAAATCAAACATGAGTTTAGGAACTAAATTAAAAAGTGACAAGAATAACTTCAACTAACAAATGTTTTTCTAAGTCCTAATCACTTAATTAGAAAAATAGTTAAATCAGAAAAGATAGCTGACTACAAAATGGCCTTAGTAAAACGAAAACACGTTATCAATATTATAAATTAAGTTTTCTATATCATAACATGTTCCTAAAACTTGGGGCAAGAGAGAACATGAATGTATATGTTTATAAATTGGGCCTTTCGTTTAAATATAGGTACCTAATATATAAGATTAATATACACTACTGTGAATATGGATTACTCTCCTAAGTTTGTGCTGCCCAAATTGAGAATTGTAGGTTCAAAGAAATTCAACAGTGAGGAGGAAATGAGAATGTCATTCACCCATGACCAACCCACTTCACGTAATTAAGAAATTTCAGATGACCAGGAAGGGTCCCCAGAAGCTTTCCTGATTAAAACAGAATCTGATTCAAGTAGGAAGCAAAGGAGAAAGAAAAGAGAGATGCTCATCAGAAGTTGATATAAAGAAAAGGGTTTTGTTTCCTGGTGCTTCTCAAAGCAATGACAGAATAAACAGAATCTTTCAAATAAGTTGCCTTGTGTTGATAAATTAACAGTAATATACTGACAATCAGTGTGTCATCCCAGGAACCAAATAACAGTGCAAGGAAAATGGAAAAGGACCCACTGAAATAAATATTATTTCATCACTCCTCCTTACACAAAAATGATATGAATGGACGGCGGAATTCTCCTGGCTTGAAATTCTGCCACTTATGTTCATTCTTATTCAGCGTAAAGAAAGATAAGGATATAAACCCTATGCTACTTATTGGCTGCCGTAAGGTATGTTTTCACACAATGATTTTCTATTAATCGTTCTATAAGGAAATTTTAAGAAGTCTATAAAGACATTCAAAATATATAAAACAATTTAAATTTCAAGGTTTTCTGATCATTTTGTTTTTAACAAAAAGACATTTAAGTATAAAGGAACTAGCATAAATTTGAACCAACCAAAATAAAGATTAATGATTTATAATTCTACCACACAAAACAAATTTAATTCAAGCAAGTACATTTTTCAGATGTAGGATTCAGGGCATAGATTTGTAGAAAGGACTAATAAGAGAAGATAAAATACAACTTTGTGGCCTTCTCAAAATTGTATAAGCTTATCAAAACTATGATTTTTAACATTTCTGTTTACATAAAATTGAGCCCAAACATTTGAAATGATCATTGATATGTTCTTCCCTTTTTAGAAAAAAATATGACTGCTTTTGCCATAGACTTGGTGCAATTCTAGGAGAAAAAGTCACTCCAGAGATTGTTGAAAATTTCAATAATCACGCTAAAGCAAAAAATTCAACTTGTCATTTCTGAGTTACTCCTAAAGTTTGTTTCATATTTTCATAAACCACATAACTGATGCCTACAGCAGGTAGCACCTTCATGAAGTTTGGGGTGATGCCTCTGTAAAGTCCTGGTATTCCTTCTTTGGAAATTATGCGTCGAAAGAGGCCAACCATGTTCAGCTGTGGGCTTCCTTCTAACATGGCTAGAAAATAAAAACCAGGCTAGTTTAATATTCAAGCATGTTTTGCTATTATTGCTATACAAAATTATGCTTCAGAACGATATTCTAGAATACAATGAAAGGACAAAATTTATTCCAAGGGGCCCAAGAAAGTACCCCTTTCTACAATTCTCCTTGTATAGTACCTAATAGTGAGTGCCCTAATTATAATAATGATGGTAATAACAGTTATTTATTGAGTGATTACTATGTGCTAGATATTGGGTTAATTACTTTATATACCAATCCTCCAAGGTCGGTATTATTGTACCCATTTTATAATGGGGAATTGGAAGCTTAGAAAGATTGAGAAACTTGTCCTAACACACTTAGCTAGCAAGTGGGAGAGCTGAGAGCTGATGGTTTTTCTGACTCCAAAGCTCATGCACTTTCTACCACACCACCTGGCTGCCGCCACCCCCTCCGCCTCATTAACCAAGCGCTGTAGGGAGAACAGTTCAATCTTAGGAAGTAAGGGGAGAATGGGGAGATTAGGGAAAATATAGGATCCCTGAGCCTTGAAAATGATCCCAATAGGCAGGAAAGAGAGGGAGGGAAATCCCATGTTGCTAGCACAACAAAGACAAAGGTGGCAACATGCATGTGCTATGGGGACACGGCTGATTGCTGCATGTGGTTATGACACAGATGGTACCGAGTGGCTGGAGGTGGGTAAGGTATGGGTGGGGAAATGGAGCAAAAAAATAAAGTGGGGATTATTGAAGGCTTTGAAATTCCCACTAAGAACTTTGGAATTTATTCTGAAGACAATGAAAAGTCACAAAGATTTCTGAACAGGAGTAAAATGATCAGACTTCGACTTTAGAAACAAGCGTCCTATCAGCCATACAGGGACTGGACTGGAGCTGGCAGATGGGAGGGGAAGACTTGTTCAGTGATGGTTTGAATCAGACTGCCCGGGTTTGAAGTCTAGCTCCACTATCTACCAAATGTATAACCTCGTGGAAGTTAATCTCTTTTTGCCCCAGTTACTCATTTTCAAAATGGGGATAATATTAGTATCGCCCCCCCAAAGATGGTTATGATGGTTGAATGAGAGAATACACACAAAACGTTGAGTTCAGCACTTTGCATTTTTCTCTCCAGCCACATGGTCTTCTTTCAGCTCCTCAAATAAGCCACATTTTCTCTTGCCTCAGTGCCTTCACACATGCCTTTCCTGGGGCTGGAATGCTCTTTTTTCCCCCTGCACCTGCCTTTGCCCAGCTAACTCCCACTTGTCTTTCCAGGCTCAGCTTAAATGACAATGTTCTCTGGCTCCCAAGATAGGTTAGAGTCCCTTGCTCTGTGCTCCCCTAATAGAGGGGAGGGGGGCTAATGAGGTTGTTTACTTGCTGAATGTGTGTATTCTCCACTCCACAATGGCAGGGACCACAAGTGACTTGTGGACTGCTCTAACCCCAGCACCTGGCAGAGGGTCCAGCACCTGACAATGGCTCAGGAAGTATTTGTTAATTAACGATTGACTGCTTGGTTGAGGGAGGGGTGGTTGGTACTTGGAAGAGAGGTTGGGGATAGAACTGAAGGTGCCCAGGGTGTACTATTTAAAGAAATAACAGTGGGTGAGATTGGTCAGGGAAAGAGCAAAAAAGAAAAGAAAGGCACAGAACGCACACTTTAATGTAGCAATAAAAGCCAGCACATCAGAAGAAAAGAGAATAATCAATGAAATGGCAGAAGAGTTAGGAGGCTACGGTGTAATCAAAGCCAAGGGAGGGGACAGTGTCACAATGGGGAGGGATCACAGTTCAAAAGTTGTAGGGTCCAACAATAATAAACAATTGCAGCCACAATTCATCAAGAATTTGACAAATGCCATGTACTTTACATATATTGTTGCTAATTCTTACAACACCGCACAGTTTTCATTCCCTTTTACAGATGAGAAACCAAAAACCCAAAGAGGTTTGGGGCAAAGATCTGAACCCAAATCCACCTAGATACTAAAGCTTATATACTCTTAAAACATGTATTCTCAACACAGGCAAAAAAAATCTTACTCTGTTATGCACAAAGCACAGATATACAGCCAGTACACGTGCAGTCTATCTGTGGTATAAAAATTTCATTAAAATGGAGTGTTTAGGAAAAGAATTTGTAAAACAGTTCCTTAGGGAGGCAATAATGAAAAAAAGCTTGAGAAACACTATCTTAAAACCATATTCTCTTGTCTCAGGGGAACCTGAAGTTCCAAAAGCACGTTACTGATGCAGTACTTTTATCAGCGTGATTCCTTCATCAAAAACTCACCTTGAGCCTGCATGCGCGTTCGCACCAAGGCCAAGGGGTAGCTGGCCAGCTGACCGCAGGTGCTCGACAAGGCACCACATCCCAGCAACACCATGACACCAGGGTTTACAGAGTCTTTGGCAAAATTATCTAGCCAATGGGACTTCAAGAGCTGCCAGAGAAAGAGAAAAAAAGAAAGGTAATGAACTAACTTTACAACTGCTTTCACTCCACATGAAGACTTGCACAGGCACTCTCATCCTTATGAGAGGACCACTTCTACAAGATCGGGTGGCATGTTCCCAGGAGCGGCAGCCACTGTAGAGGCAGCAGCCGGTGGAGAGGTGGGGAAGCCACTGGGGATACAGAACACGTGAGGTTTGCACTTGCTGCTCATTGTCTTCTAAATAAACGTGAAGATCTGTAGCACACCAAATGTAGGATCTAAAGAACATTTCCTATGGTAAGTACTAATAAAAATATAACACTACTAATTGCATCTAATTTTGTGCTTTACACATAGGTAGTTTCATTTAGTCCTTTTACAAAAGCTGAGGTGGAGCTATTCTTTTGATTCCAGAAATGAGGAAAATAAGTCTCAGAGGAGTTTTTTTTTAATAAGGGTGCAGCAAAGTGTTCTGATCCTCAGGCCATGCTTTTACCCTATTAGCCTACATCCCTGTATTTCCATTAGAAGGCAATAAATGAGAGAAATTGTATATAATATATATGCTAATATACTTTTTAAATATAAAATATTTTAAGTTAAAAATATATGCTACTATGTGGGAAAAATTATATTTTGTATGGTAGCCCAAGCATACTAATACACCACCCAAAGCAATCTACAGATTCAGTGCAATCTCTACTCAAATCCCAATGACATTTTGGAAGAAACAGAGACAATCATCCTAAAATTCATAAGAAATCTTAAGGGACCCCAACTACCCAAAATAATCTTGGAAAAGAAGAATGAAGTTGGAGGTCTCATACTTCCTGATTTCAATATATACTACAAAGCAACAGTAATCAAGACGGTGTGGTACTGGTATAAAGACAGATACATAGATCAATGGAATAAAATAGCCCAGAAATAAACTCTTGAATATACGGCCAAATGATCTTCAACAAGGGTGCCACGACTGAGGAAAGGACAGTCTCTTCTACAAATGGTCCTGGGAAAACTGGATATCCACATGCAAAAGAATAAAGTTGGACCCTTACATTACACCACATACAAAAACTAACCTAAAAGGAAAGACTTAAACATAAGACCTAATACTATAAAACTCCTAGGAGAAAACGTATGGTAAAAGCTTCAGGATATTGGATTTGGCAATGATTTCTTGGATGTGATACCAAAAACACAGGCAACAAAGGCAAAAATAGACAAACTTCAACTTAAAAACTTCTGTGTAGCAAAAGAAAGACAATCAACAGAGTGACAAGGCAACCTACGGAATGGGAGAATATATTTGCAAACCATATATCTGATATGGGGTTAATATCCAAAATATATAAAGAATTCCTACAACTCAATAACAACAATAAAAAAATAAATAAGCTGATTAAAAAATGGGCAAAGGATTTGGATAGACATTTCTCCAAATATGATATATATAAATGGACAACAAGCATATGAAAAGATGCCCAACATCACTTATCATCAGAGAAATGCAAATTAAAAACACAATGAGATATTGCCTCACACCTGTTAGGATGGCCACTATTAAAAAAATAAATAAAAAACAGAAACTAACAAGTGTTAGCAAGGATGTAGAGAAATTACTGTTGATGGGAATGAAGAAGGGTACAGCTGCTATGGAAAACGGTTTGACAGTTCCTTAAAAAGCTTAACACAGAATTACCATATGACCCAGCAATTCTATCCCTAGTTACAGTATATACCCAAAGGAATTGAAAGCAGAGACTCAAACAGATACTTGTATCAAATGTTCACTGCAGCATTATTCACAACAGCCAAAAGGCAGAAACAACCCAAAAGATGAATAGATAAACAAAATGTGGTATATCCATACAGTGGAATATTATTCAACCATAAAAAGGAATGATGTTCTGATACATGTTCCAACGTGGATGAACCCTGAAAACAATATGCTAAGCGAAATAAGCCAGACAAAAAAGGACAAATATTATATGATTCCACTTATCTGAAATAACTAGAATAGGCAAATTCATAGAGACAGAAAGGAGATTAGAGATTACCAGGGGCTGGGAGGAGGGGAGAGTGGGGAGTTATTTTGTAGTAGTTACAGAGTGTATGTCTGGGATGATGAAAAGGTATTAGAAATAGATAGTGGTGATGGTTGTACAACATTGTGAATGTAATTAATGCCCTTGATTTGTACTCTTAAAAATGGCAAATTTTATGTTGTACATATTTTACCACAATTTTTAAATTAAGTTTTAAATTCCAAAAACCATTGCATTGTACAATTGAAATGAGTGAAATGTATGCTATATGAATTATATCTTAATAAAGCTGTTAAAAAAAAAAGTAAAGTCCTCTAAGAAAGCTTTCATTACACATTCCACCCCTCCCCTCAGCTATAGGTTGGGTCCCTTCCCAACGCACCCAGGCTTACTTCTATCACAGCACAACCATACACTGCGCTTTAGCTGTTTGCTTGTCTATCTCCCCCACCAGACCTTCAGTGTTGTAAATCCAGAAACCAAGTCCTTCTTCCAGCCTCTAGATCCAGCATCTAACCCAGTGGCTTGCACATCGTGTGAGCTCGATAAATGTTGGCCCGATTTGTCAATTATTAAGCAGTTTAAAAGTCAGGGTGGAGCCAAGATTTGTAGTCCAAGTTGTCTCTTCAGTACAAGGGATGGATCTGTGCTATCCACGTCAGTCTCTTGGCTTTACCAATATAAGATTTTAACAAATCAAACAAAATGTGCCATTTTTGCTTATTTCCTCTCCCTTCAAAAAAATCCCTAGTACCATCTTCTAAGCTGAACAACTATATCTGAATGTGAGTCCACAGTCTTTGTTAATAAAAATAATTCACAAGGAATCTAATACAAAAGTGACAACAGGAACAGGAAGGGTCTCATATTCGAGGTACTTGAAAAGAAAGATCAAATAACACACCCCTGAATCTACTTTTGGTCACGAACTGTTTCCTGGTATATATGTACTTCTTTATATAAAGTCAATTTCTAACAATAAGAACTATTTAACTACATTTTCAGATTCAAAAGATTGCTAAAAACTCACCTCATACACAGCAAGATCTATACCTGCATAAGGTATGATGCCTAATAAATTGGGAACATAACCTTTGTAAAAAGCTCCCACTCCTTCATGTTTCAAAATCTTCTTGGCACAATCGAATATTCCAGAGTATTGTCCAGTTTTGCCTACAGCCAGCCTGGTTTTCAAAACCTGGTTATGAAAGAATATAACAAAATATTGTTGTTCATATTAACTCTATCATCATGGAATTCAAAAGAATTAATTTTACAGAATACCTAGCACATACTGTCATGTAAACGACTGTCCAATTTGTTGATGTGTTCTCCCTCACATATTCTCTCTCTTAAGAAGCCGAGACCAGAGCCAAGAGGACCTATTTATTGCAAAGAGGATCTGAATGAGAGCAGTGGCAGAGGAAATGGAGAGAAGCAAATCTACTGATGTCTTAACAAAATTGACTGCTGACTAGCTAGATATGGAGAGTGAGGGAAATAGTAGTGTAAAGGACAATTCCAGTGTCTCTAGCTTGGAACAGAGGATGCGGGCAGCAGGGAGGTGGGAAGGTGATGCTATTAACTGAGATGGAGGATATAAGAGGAAGACTAGGTATTGAATTAGGATATTTTTTGAGGGGTGTGCGGAATAATATGATCATATTAAGATGTTTACAAGGAAAGCTTTATTAATATGCATACCACAAAGGTGAAAATTAAAAGTATCTTAAGAGTATCTTAATCAAATATCTTGCTTAGGTCTTATCAGTTATTGACAAATCCTTTGTCGCATCAATAAATATCAATCACATATACAATATTATTTTTGCTCTAAAGCAGGAGTTGGAAAACTTTTTCTATAAAGGCTAGATAGTAAACATTTTCATCTTTGCAGGCCTAACATAACAGGTCTCTGTTGCATATTCTTTGCTTTTTTGGGTTTTTTTAACCACCTTTTTAAAATGCAAAAACCATCTAATTAGGGCCGGCTCCGTGGCTTAGCGGTTAAGTGCGTGCGCTCTGATGCTGGCGGCCCGGGTTCGGATCCCGGGCACGCCCCAAGGCACCACTTCTCCGTCCAACGCGAGGCCGAGTCCCACGTACAGCAACTAGAAGGATGTGAACCTATGACATACAACTGTCTACTGGGGCTTTGGGGGGAAAAAATGAATAAATAAAAAACCATCTAATTAGGACTGCCATCACCTAATCACATCCTGAAGTTCCATCATGAAATTTACGGTACAGAAACTCTTTGGAAATGAATGGGTGAATTCTTATTTACACTGTGGCAGCCAGCCTCCAAGACGGCTTCCAACTATCCCTGCCTCCTGGTATTCACACCTATGTAGTCCCCTCCCACACTCTACCAGAAGTGGTCTGTGTGACCAATAGAATACAGCAGAAGTGACCAGACATGGCAGCTTCCATCTAGGGCACTCTCTCTCTCTGATCATTGACTTGAGGAAACCAGATACCATGTTGTGAGGGTACTCAAGCAGCCTGTGGAGAGGCCCATGTGATAACGAATTGACGTCTGCAGCCAATAGCCAGGGAGGCCTGGCAACAAACATGTGAGTGAGCTTGGAAGCGGATCCATCCCCAGTTGAACCCTGAGGTGACTACAGTCCTGGTCGACACCTTGACAGCAGGCTATAAGAAACCCTGAGCCAGAGGCACCCAGCTAAGCTACTCTCAAATTCCTGACCCACAGACACCATGAGATAATAAATGCTTGTTGTTTTAAACTGTAAACTTGGGGTAAGAGCAAAGATAATTAATATAAACACCATTAACACAGTCAGACTTCACCATGGTACTTACCTCCATAGGATAAATAAAAGTCTGTGCAGTTGCCCCAGCCATGGAACCAGAAATAAATCTCTCAAAAGTTCCTACTTTCTGTCCTTCCTCAGTAAGCAGCTTCTTGTACTGTATAAATAAATTTTTAAATGCACATTAATATCTGCTATAGACTGAATTGTGTCCTCCCACAAATTCAAATGTTGAAGCTATAAACCCCCAATGTGATGTATTTGGGATGGGGCCTTTGGGAGGTAATTAGGGTTAGATGAGGTCATGACGGTGGGGCCCTCATGACAGGATTGGTGTCCTTATAAGAAGGGACACCAGAGAGTTCACTCTCTCTCTCTCTCTCCACATGCATACACCAAGGAAAGACCATGTGAGCACACAGTGAAAGGGCAGCCATCTGCAAGCCAGGAAGAGGGCCTTCACCAGAAACCAAATTAGTCAGCACCTTGATCCTGGATCCTGTCCCAGCTCCAGAACTGGGAGAAATAAATTTCTGTTGTTTAAACCATCCAGTGTTTGGTATTTTGTTATGGCAGCCCGAGCTGACTAAGACAATACCAAAATACAAATCAGCTCCTAGAAATCAGTTAATTGGCAATGTGACGATGTCTCTCTAAATGCATACACTGCATTAATACCTAGCAGAAAAGCAAGGCTTAAATGCTAACACATCCAGTTTACTGGATAGTGGTTTCCAAGGTAGATTTCCACAGAGCACAGATGTTCCAAAGATGGGACCCAGTTGCTCCTTTGCTAAAACAGAATAATAGCATTCTTTCCCAGATGCACAGAAAACACAGAGTTAATAAAGTGTTTGTAATTTTTGGATAATTTCCCCATTGTTTTTATTTTCTTAAGATGAGTTTATTTTCACCAGTACAAATAAAACAAATAAATGACAAATATTAACAAAACAACTTAGAAGAACAGGTTTCGTAGGTAACATATAACTATATTAACAAGTCAACCCCAGTGCCCACCTGGCCCACCAGAATAAAGCAACGGACACAGCTGATCGGGCCAAGGGTGGAATCTGACCCAAACGTAGCCAAAATATTGACAGGGCAGGGCGTAAATATCATGGGCCCCAGAGTCAGGCAGACCTGGGCTGGAACTCCAGAAACGTGTGCCCCTGGGCAAGTTCATGAACATGTCTAAGCTGCAGTTTCTTCTTCTATGATAACAGTACTTATCTCATGGGGTTGTTGAAAGGATTAAATAAAATAATATAATAACACAGCACAGTGCTGGACACACAGCGAATGTTCAGTAAATGTTGTTGTTATCATTAATACTAATACATTATCTTTCCAAAACTTGGAGAGACAAACTCTGCCCAAACACAGACTGTGGTAAAAAGCCAGGCAAACCAGACTCCTTCTCTTAGAAATGTCTGGAGGGTCCACACAGGTAACTGGCCACTGACACAGAAGGAGAAGTACATATATCAACAGAGAGAAGCAGACACGGCGAAGGAACAGGTCGGTGAAGTTCCACTTCCTGCCCTGCTCTGAGGACCCTTCCCTAAATGCCGCAGGCATCCCGACAGTGACCCCCACTCCCTGAGCCAGCCAGAGCTTCTGTTCCTCGGGATCCAAAGAGCCCAGGGCAACAATACAGGAGTAGTTTCTCCTAGTAAAACTGTGTTTCTCTGCTCATGATAAAAATTAAACATATTATTTCACGAAGCTCCCCAAATGGCAGATATTCCTCCCAAAAGAGATCAGTGCCTCCATGGGCTCTGATTCTGAACTGCATCAGAATGTTAAGTAAAACTCCTCTTCTGTGTAGGCTCTATTACTTTTCCTGCACGTCAGATCATCACAGTCATTAAATTCAATTTGTTAAAAACCTTCCTGCATATTAACCGGAACCTTGAAGGCACCTTTTACATCTTGTAACCCCTCCCAATAGCATCTATCAAAAGTATTCAGTAAATGTTGAGTGAGTGATGGAGAATAAACATTTAAAGGGTAGGGATGTGGGGCTCCTGTGCCCCAAAACATACCACACACAAAGGGAAGAGCTGAAGACAGAGAGCCCATAAAGGGTTAGACACTGTGCCAGGTACATAACACTACGTCATCAAGTTCAATTTCTATCCTAGAGGTGAGGTAACAGTCACAGAAACTTTAAGTGGCTTGCTCAAGGTCACAGAATTTGATTTTCCCAAAGGAGAATTAACTGTGTTCTCAAAGCCACTCTGAAATCCTTTTGTCTATCTCAGTTCTCTCTCCCATTTGTTAGAACATCTATTTCAATCTCCTCTATTCTCCTGCTTCCAATACCACTTCCTCCCTTATTCTCAGGAAATGTCCTTTTTTGGGAACTCAAGGAAGAACAGAGAGGATGCCAGGTAAGAATATCTTGGTATTCCTGCCCAACCCCACAAAATCATCCACACTCACTTAGATCTCCTTTTTTCTCGAGCTGACATAAGAAGAGTCCTCCACACAGTCAAAGGCTAATCCTCCCAATAGTCTCTGGATAGTACCCATTTCTCCCCCAGCCTTTCTACCTTCTACCCCCCACCCCGGACACATACTTCCTCTGAACACCTGCTGCACCCATCTACCTCTCTCACACATATTTTTAACTTCCTTTTTTGTACTGATATGCTACATTCAGCAACAGGCACATTAAACAAAACATATCAAAACCCTCCCTCTGCCCAACATCCTTCTTATCTATCAGTCTCTCCCTCTTCTTTTCTCCTTTCCTTCTGACATCTAACTCCCTGAAAAAATGTGTCTCCACTGCCCAATTTTCTTCACCTCCTCTTCACTTTAGCTCATTTTAGTATGGTTTCTCATCTCATTACTTCGCTGACATATTTGTACAAAGATTTCCTGTCTCTGAGTTAATAAATCATAAAAGATATTTTTCTTATTGTATTTACCACCTTCTAGCATTTGACCATTCATGAAATCTTTTTCCTCCTCTGACTTCTAGGCTATCAGTCTCTGTAGTCATCCTCCTGTCCCTCTAGCTATTCTTTCTCAGTCTCCTTTGGAAGTTTCTCCTCTACTTCTCCCTAGGCTTATTCCCAGAATTCTTGTCTTTCCATAAGCCTTCCTGAGTGATCCAATCCAATGGCTTCAACTCAATAACAACCTCTCTATCAAAGATCTCTCTCCTAATTTCTAGATGATATATCCATTTGCCTACTGGACAGCTCCCTGTACATGTCACAGAGATAGCTCAAACTCAGCATGTCCAAAATGGAACCTGTCATTTTACCCCAAAATCCATTCCTCTTATTATTTTCTCTACGTGTTTAGTTGCTCAAGTTAGGAGCCAGAGCATCATCCTTGGTTCCTCTTTCTTTCTCATCTCCACATTCACTCAGTGAATGAGTCTGTTGATTCTATTTCAAAATATTTTTCAGTCCATTGCCTTCTTCTCCAGTCCTGTTAGCCACCATCTTATACTAAGATGCTCATCGTTTCTTACCTGAATTACTGAAATATTTCCTTAAATAGTCTCCCCACCTCCAGTACAGCCTCACTCTCCTCCAATACATTCTCCACTCTTTTTCCACGTTGATCTTTCTTTCTTTTTTTCTTTTTTTGTGAGGAAGATCGGCCCTGAGCTAACATCTGCCAATCCTCCTCTTTTTGCTGAGGAAGACTGGCCCTGGGCTAACACCCATGCCCATCTTTCTCTACTTTATATGGGACACCACCACAGCATGGCTTGACAAGCAGTGCATCAGTGAGCGCCCGGGATCCGAACCGGCGAACCCCGGGCTGCCACTTAACCACTTGCGCCACTGGGCCGGCCCCCAGGTTGATCTTTCTTAAATGTAAACATACTCATTTCACTTCTTTACATAAGATGCTTCAATAGCCCCCTCACCATATTCAAGATAAAAATCTAGACTCCTATGTCATTTGGCTCATGCCTATCTGTCCAGCCTGCTTTCATCATCATCTTCCCAGAAACACACTCCACTACACCTGAGCCTAGCAAACCACTTTACATTTCCTTAGCGAATGATGCTTTCTTGTGCCTACATTTCTGTCCACATGCTGCTGCTTCTGCTCGAAATACCCATCTTTCCCTTCATCTTAACGGGCTTGAGACTCAGGAAGGATTGCGTCCAAATTCTAGCTCTGGCAGTTCTGTGTTTTCACTCATCTAATAAGGATTTACTGGCACTGGACAAGGTGCTGGGAACACAAAGCTGGAAACAAATATTGCCTAGGGAAGCTCACAGTCTCATTAAGGAAAGAAGTAAGTACCGAGATAATCAGAATTCAGTGTGAAACTGTTGTAACGGAGGGAAACACAGGGAACTATTACAATGAAGAGGGTTTCCTGGAGGAAATAACTCCTGAGTAGTCTTGCAGGATGTTCACCACTATATGACATATAGAAAGAGGAATGGAGTGTGAGTGTGTGTGTGTGTGTGTTTGTGTGTGTGTGCAAGTGTGTCACTGGAGCCAGGGATGGAAGGATGACTGCTGCACTGTAGACATGTTGCATTTGAGGTACCCCTGGGATATGTAAGTAGAGATGCACAGATATGCAGTACACAGATGGATGTGTAGGTATAGAGACGAAGGAAAAAAAGATAGAACAGAGAGCAGTTAGTACATATGTGGCAGCTGAAACCATGAGAACACTGCACCCTGTCACTGATACAATGTACTGTTATGGTAATGACAACCCAAACTGTCCACAGCTTTATCCCATATTGATGTGTTTAAGAGAGCTACATACCAGGCTGAAAATATCCTTTTGTTAGTTTTCTAAACTATTAGTTATTCAATGAACAAGACCTATCTAAATCCAGAAGTGAGCTAGCTAGGTACTCTGGGAAATGTGAGAATATATATGACATAATATTTATGCTGAAGAAATTTACAACTCACTGGGAAAACAATGAGTTTTGCCTTATCCAGTGGAAAACTGGATATTCTGTAACACAGTGCCCTAAGGAAGCTGGGCCGGGGAGGCATTGGTTTTGGTTGGAATGCTTAGGAAATGCTGCTCATGGGAAGCCGGGCTTAAGAGAGCCCTGAGGGATGAACAGATCTTCAGCAGGAGGGGAGAAAATGGACAGGCATAATAGGGCTTTCTCTTGATCTCTCAGAAAAGTTAGCACACAGAAATTAGAATATTGTAAAGAGGGCTCAGAAAGGAGCCTGACTGGATAGAAGCAGAGGATGGCGGTTGGCAGTGTCCAAGTTAAGAATCTGACAAGTAGCATCAAGTGTAACGCATGCATTTGCTTGCAATAACTTGGACTTTCAAAAATACCTAAGTTCCTGCATATTGGAATAATGGTTTTCTACTCGAACACTTACTTATTGTACGCTCTGGCTTTCCCATCATAAAATTCAAATATGTGGTCAGTATATACTGGTATCTAAAATGCGTGCCCTTACTAGTCATGATTTGAATCCTCAAACATGCACAAAAGGAAAATATCCTTCCCCAAAATAGGCTCTAATTAAAGTCCTGGAGGCTAGATTTTCTTCAACTTTTTTCTTTGCTTCTCTATTTCCTAAACCAAGAAAAGGACACCACTAGATTGTGTAATCTTCTCAAGAGTATTCTGTTGCTCAAGAACAAAATACTCTCCAAAATCATCAAAAATCTATTTGAAATAGTACAAAATATGAGGTGGAGCTAAATTTCAAGGTTCTTATAGTTGACGATAAACAATGATGGAAGAAATCATGGAAAAAATAATTTTGTGGATGCTCAACTAGACAGTTCTGCTAATGACCATAGAGAGAAGCCAAATTCTAAAACTCATTGCTATATTTCCTCTTAATACCAAGTCCCGCTGAAGCAGCATCCAAAACAATCTAAGTCAACAGAGAAGTTGATTCAGAGGTAAATGCATTCATTCATTGATTCATTCACTTATTCATTCAACAAACACTTACTGAGCACTTATCATATGCCAGTCTCTGTCTAAGTGCTGGAGTATAGAGAAGAAGCCCAACTCCCACTTCGACGGAGCTTTCACTCTAAATCCAACTCAATTTTATAGCCATGTCAGATTACACAAAAGACTTCAACTTAAAATTTTTCCTTCTAGATGTTAGATGGGGATAATTTCATAAAACTTATATTAGTGTGCAGCTTCTATTCTGAATTCAAAATGAATAAGATAAAATTCTACTTTTCATTCAAGAGCTCCTTAGAAAAGAAAATAAAAGTCTTTCTTTATAAATAATATGAAATTCAGAATCCCAGAATTTAGTTATGAGGAATCTCTGACTTTATCTTCTCTAATCTCCTGTAAGAGAAATTCCTCATGGAGTATATGTGGAAAATGATCATGTATTAAAACAAAAATTTAAAAAGCACTGTATGCTAATTGTTATTGAGTCAGTTTAACGCCTCTTTGTTAATAAATTCCACAGGTGATAACAATTACCTGTTCATATGCCCAGAACTTAACAGCTGTCTCAGGAGCAATTTTAATGACATTTGTACCATTTCCCCTCCAAAGAGAGCGGATGCCTCCTTCTTTCACCATCTGTCGAAAGCCATCATATATGTTCATTTTGTGTGATTTTGAACCGTGGACCTAAAAATAAAAGCAAAATGATATAAAATACTGGTGGCATGTTACTGTTACTATTTCTAATGTAACTGTACAAACCACTCTCTTTCCTTCACTCTTGTTTATTACTGCAAGAAGATGTATTTGAAAATAGAATATAGAAAGTTGAGAAAATATATATCGATGGAAAGAATTATTACCATCATTTTTAGAGGCCTGACTCTGAATGTAAAACTAAGAAAAATCAGTATCCTCAGTGTGGGAAAGCAGACAGAAAGGACATGATTAAAATTAAAATTATTATGAACACTCAAAAGATAACATGAACTAAATTATGTATTAGGCTACAGAACACCCTTTGGAACATGAATAAGTTCAGTTTAAGAAAAATAAAAAAATACGCTGCAGGTAATATATTATCCCTCCCCCCAAGAAGTAATACTGGCACGAAATATAAACAGGTCTGAAAACAACATTTGGATATTATGTACATCAGAGCCATAGACATTGGAATGCACACAGCCTGACATCAAAAATATAAACTGTAGCTTCTATGACTTACTTCAAGATCTCTCTAGGCAATAAATTCATGATAACATATACCAACCGCCTCACCCATTGAGTACTGACGAATTACTTGGCTTATACTACAGATGTGATACTTGTTTAAATATAGCAGACCTTATGACTGCCTCTATATAAAAACTGATTAAATCTAATAAACAAAAATAATTAAAGAAATCAGCTCTTCTTCTGATTGTTTCAGCTTACACAAAATGAGTTACTATAAAAACAAAATGGGAGAGGCTGAAGATGAAAGGTCGGCCATGTGGGCGGTTTGTGACTGAGCCACAATAAGAACTCTGGACACCAAAGACTCGGATGAGCTTCCCAGGTCCCTTTGCAAGACTCTGCATATTGTCACACGTAGACGCCAGCTAAGTAACACATCGTGACTCTACGGGGAGAGGACAACAGAAACTCTGCATTTGGTACTTCCCCAGACTCAGCCCTACGCTCTTCTTTCCTTGGCTGGCTTTAATCTGTACCTTTTCCCTGTTATAAACCATAACTATGAGTATAAAAGCTTCCAGTGAGTTCTGTGAGTCCTTCTACTGAACGGTTGAACTTGAAGGTAGTTTTGGGAACTCCCTGAACTTGCAGGAACTAAAGTCCAGAGATATCCATTTTATTTTAAATAAACTTCACAATAAAATATGACAAAGGAAAAGATGAATGCTTATTCAAGCTCTCTCAGAGTGAATTTACTATTGTTCCTAGAGAAAAACACACTAATTCTCTCTCCTTTTTCTTTAAAGCACTATCTTTACTCTTAAGTATATTTTGAGATTTAAGTACAGTCTGCATGGATGCTAGTTTAAAATATTGACAGAAATCTTTTTGTACAGAAATCTAAGGAGAAATGTAAAAAGTTCTGACCATAGGTATAACAACACAACTTTTAAAAATATTTTAAGCAACTACTATATTCCAGTAGGTTATTCCAGTGTATCAGGCATTTTTCACATACGTTACATCATTTGATTCTTACAACCACCCTTATTAGATATTCCCATTCCAGAATGAAGGAAAATGAGCCCTCAGGGGTTTCACGCAATGTGAGAACCATGAGCTTTGGAGCCAAAGATACTCCATTTCTTGTCTAATTTGTTGTAAAGGAAAAGTTATTTAATTCTCGGAGCCTCAGGTTCCCCACGGATAATATGAGGATAAAATACCCTCCTCACTGGGTTGCTGTGAGAATTAAATGAGATACTATAATGAGCATCAAATACATACTAATTCCTTTCCTTTCCCTCTTTCTTGTGACTCTCATCAGCCAAGTCTACAGTGCTAGTAAATAGCAAAGTCAGTCTATACATCCAGGTCTTTTTCTGCTAACCTCAGCTTTGAATAATTTTTAAAATTACATCCTCGTTCCAAGATTCTAGTTTTCAGAAATATCCCACTTGCGAAAAAGTACATAAAATAGAAGGAAAATACAAATAATTTAAGGAGAATGCCACAATAATAGCTGAAGACATTTCTTCTAATCAAACATTTGAATAGTCACAGAATGCCAAAGATTAAAAGTTCATCACACACACGGACCAATAATTTAAGGTTTGGCGGAACACTGAAATACTTACATGGCCTGAATTTAGGGTTATTAGCAACAAAATAGAGATTTTTTTTTAAAGGGATGAAAGACTATTACTGAGAAATTTTAAAATTTCTTTTTCAAAGCACCATACTTCTCATTGTTTAGAATAATTAGGACAAACTTAGACACAACATCTAAGGCTCACCTGCATCATGACTTTCAGCCGATCCAGGGGGGCAGTGCTCGTTCGCGAGACGGCGCCAGCGACACCTCCTGCCAAGAGCTGCCTCCACCACTGTCCCGACTTTTTTTCATCTTCCGTGAATTCATCCGGAATAGTTATACTGTCTCCTATGTCAATACCCTGTTAAAATGGAAAAAAGATCCCCATGTTCCTTTAATTAAAGACAGATCATTCCAGAAGGTTTGTTTGTTCTAGAGAAGAATCACGTGTTATTTTATAGTTAAGATCAACTTCATTCCTTAGAAAGTATACTGAAACAATTTCAGCATATAGATGATTATCAATAGCCTAGTCACACTAAACAAAGCACAGTGTCAGTTCACAAGAAATGAAAATTCACAGTAATTACAAATTTACAAAACCAACAACTACAACTTTCTTTCTTAACAGATGTAGAGTAACTTTTCTCCTCTTGGTCTATGTCAGAATGAAAGAGCAGCATTTTATCAGATGTAGTGAATCCTTTTCGCTACAGAAAGAAATTAGTTTTTCAATTCTTCAAAGATACTCCCTTTATCTCAAAATTACATCCACCTTATACTTTATACACGATATATGCTTTATAATTTTATTTATTTATTTTTTCCCCCAACTATCTTTTGCAAGTAGATAGTTGTATGTCATAGCTGCACATCCTTCTAGTTGCTCTATGTGGGACGCGGCCTCAGCGTGACCAGAAAAGCAGTGCGTCAGTGCGCGCCTGGGATCCGAACCCGGGCCGCGAGCAGCAGAGCGCACGCACTTAACCGCTAAGCCATGGGGCCGGCCCTGCTTTAAATACGTAAATAAAAATTAAATAAAAACTATGTATGTGAATACCCCTAAACTCACTTCTTATATAGATTGTCTATAAATATTTTTATAAATCTGACTTATTTAAAACGTGCAATAGATTCTACATAAAATTTAGCTAACAGGGAGGTATTGTTTAAAATGATCCATCCTCCAATCTAAACATTACTGTACATAAAAATATAGCTTGAGAGAAACAAATTTCTATAATGATAATATTTTTATAGCTTTTTATCTAAATGATTCTGATGAAAAAGATTTTATGGGTAAGAGCATAAGGCTCAGGAGCTATGTTATCATATAACTCTCTCTTTCTTCATTTTACTATCAATAAAATAGATACATGATTTTAGCCTCAACTGCTATCAACTATCGCCAAAGATACAGTAAGAATTCGATTATGTAAAAATAACTTCACATAAGTATAAAATTTATCTAGTCAACTGAACTAATGTAGTATTATTTTATACTCATAGTTGAAAAGGCATTAATCGCCAATAATTTTATAATGCTCCATGTAAGATTAGGCATTGTTACTAGCGGCACTGTGAACTCTAGACTTCATTTAGTTCATATAAAATTTACTGAAATACATGAATAAGTATAGAAGATGAGCCCATTAGGAAAATAAAAATTCCCTCAAAGAGTTTTTATTGGTTTCAGGAGCAAATTGCACAGTGAACTGAACTTCATTTACACCAGTACATTTTAACAGAATATTAATGAAATTTCATTAAAATTTGAAAGTTTTGAGGAATACAGACAGACACCTGTAAAATGCTGAGCAGATGAGCCAAAGATTTTTAACCTTCAATGATTATTGTTCTAAGCACCTTATGCCAGAGGTAAATCTAGGCAGGTGACTAAATAAGCAAAAGTTTCAGGAGGGGTCTCTGGCCATCATCAATGGCCAAGGAAATAGATCCTCAGCAATCACAAGCTGCTGAGTTTAGGCAATATAATATCCGTACAAAGTAAAATCCTATGACTTTTACACTTCCCTATGGCAGAATACTCAAAATGCCAATAAGAGCTGGGCAGCTTACCTTCATAAGATTTTTGGAAGACAGTACCTCTTCCAAGTTTTGAGAACGGCAAAAACAGGAACTATATCTGCGGTGTTCATGCAGTCTTGGGTTTTTTTTTTTAAAATACTCTGAATACAAACCTAATATAATAAGCAGAGCTCTACAGGTTAAGGAGCTGCTGGGACTTGGGCACCCTGGCCTGTAAGTGTTACAGAGTATTCTCAGGTGATCACTATACCTGTGGCCTGCAGCTCCAAATAAGAATAAATTAGGGCCAGCCCCGTGGCTTAGCGGTTAAGTGTGCGCGCTCCGCTACTGGCCGCCCGGGTTCGGATCCCAGGTGCGCACCGATGCACCGCTTCTCCAGCCATGCTTAGGCCGCGTCCCACATACAGCAACTAGAAGGATGTGCAGCTATGACATACAACTATCTACTGGGGCTTTGGGGGGGGGGACGCGGAAAGAAGGAGGATTGGCAATAGATGTTAGCTCAGAGCCGGTCTTCCTCAGCAAAAAGAGGAGGATTAGCACGGATGTTAGCTCAGGGCTGATCTTCCTAAAAAAAAAAAAAAGAATAAATTAATACACAAAGTGTACTTACAGTAGAATGTTTCCAGAAACGGATAATTTCCTCAATGTCTGTAACAGGATTAAATAAGAAGTAGTCCCTCCATTCATTCCAGTCTACTGTCATCGTCCCATCAGCATCGATGCTGAAAATAAAAAGAAGCTGATTAAAGAACAAAATTTATAAATAAAACTAACACTATCAGCCATTTTGCAGAATGACATTTCTTTCCAGCTTAATATTCTTATTAAATTAAAAAAGTCCCAATTCACAATAATAGGTTGTTGGAAATGGTAGCAAGCATTTGATGGTCTGTTAGATAGTTTTAATCATTTAGAAAAAAATGGACCCCAAAACTACAGACAGATCTTACTAACAACTACCTTTGGCACTCTGTCAAACTGTAAGTCAATGAGCTATAAAACACAAAAGCTGGAAGATAAAACATTGGGAGGTAGTAATGAATGGATTTATGATCCATTTTTTCTTGCACTGGCTCAAGGAGATATTTCTTAATATTCTGTTGTAATATTGGGATGTGATTTTGGAATATACTCAAAATATGCTATCAATTTCCTTCTCCAACTTCCTGTAAGCTAAGAAAATCAGCAGTGATTATAAAAAAACCAAACTTGGTGACTGGGCCTTTTTTGAGTCTTAGAAATCGTGGTACATCATCTTTGACATTTAAAATTAATATACTGTAGCCTTAAATATTTTTCATTTACTTTTTGCTTGTTTTACAAGTTTCTTGGCAGTAATGCCACTTGTACCTGTTTTTTCCTAAGATCAACCCTGAACTGTGCCAGGATTTTGACTGTTTTGTTCACACGTGTATACCAAGCAACTAAAGTGGCTGGCACAAAGAAGGTGCTCATTTGTTTATTGAATTAATGAATGTCTCTGAAAAAAAGTTTTGGTGTCTCCTCCAAATTTTATATTTACTCTATAATTTGGGTGAAAATAATGCATAAAGATGGCAGTCAAATCAAACACAATTTTCAGATATTACTGTGTTTTCTAGTGCCACTTTTAATTTTGATCTGCATATGTGAAAATACACTTAAACGTTCATTTGTCCCAGCACACAGGTATTAACAACCCATATCTGCATGAGAGTCCTAGTTACTACTTAGGTTTATAACGTTATTCTGGATTGCAGTAATTATAGCTCTATTTTTACCACTATTTTCTATTTTAATGCAACTGTTTATTGTCTGACCCCATGCCCCAGCCTCCACACATGCATGCATGAGCATCCTCCACAAGGCAAGGATTTTTGTTGATTGTGTTCACTGATATGACCAAAGTGTCTAGAACAATGCCCGGCATAGATTAAACGTTTATTGAATGAATAAATGAATTCCAAACTCTGTAGCTCAAAGCCATAAAACACAGTATTGATAAGCTTCTTAAATAAAATAGTCTCACTGTGGGTTTAAATCGCATTTCTCTTCAAATTACTAATGAGGTTGAGCAAATCTTACCATATTCCTTTGCTATTCATGTTTCCTCCTGTGTGAAATGCCTGTTCATGTCTTTTGCCCATTTTTCTAATGGGTTGTGTGTCTTTTTCTTATTTATGTATAGTTCTTTATCTACCTGATTCTAATCCTTAAAGTTACAAATTAGCAAATACTTTCTCTTTGTCTTTTCATTTTGTTTATAGTGTCCATGAGTAGATGCTCTTGATTTTAATATAGCTGATTTTATCAGTCTTTTCATTTACAGCTACTGTTTTTTATGTCTTTTTTTTTTTTAATAAATTCTTCCCTACAGCGAGATAAAGATGTCTCCTTTTTTACCCCTAAAAGTATTATAGTTTAACTTTCACATTTACGTTGATTTTTGTGTATGGTATGAGGTAGGCATCCAACTTCATTTTTGTCTGAAGTGCACCAGCCCCCTTCACTACATAGTCTCTCCTTTTCCCAGTGATATGCAAAGCTACTTTTCTTGTGTGACAAATCTCAAATATGGATGAGTCTGTTTCTGGGATATTATGTTCCATTTGTCAACTTGTCTATTTGTGTAGCAATACCACTCTCTTAATTACAAATAACAACCCTTGATATTTGATAGAGAAGGTCCCCAACTTCGTACGGCTCTTCAAGAATGTCTTGGTTATTCTTGGGCCTTTGCTCTTTGCTAAAAATTTGAAGCTCAGCTTGATAAGTTCCTCCAAAAAAAATGTAGGTTTTTTTAATTCAATGGCATTGAATCATTATTTTCAATTTGGAGAGAAGGTACATCTTTTCTGTACTGAGTCTTCTAATGAAATTTTTTAAGTTGCTCTTTTAAAAGTATTGACTGTGGTGTATTATGCTTTTTATACAGCTAACTCAAGTTTGCTAATATTTTCTTTACAATATTTACATTTGTCATAAATGATATTGGCCTGTAATTTCCCTCTTTCATTGTTTGTCTTTGGTGTTATGATTATAATGACCCGACAGATTGGATTGGATAGTGTACTTCTACACTCTGCAAATATTTGTAGATCTGTTCTTTGGTAGTTTGTAAGAACCATGTGGGGCTCAAGTTTTCTTCGTGGAAAAATTTTTAATTACTGGTGCAATATCTTTACTTTGGTACTACTGGCTATTTCTTCTTGATTTAGTTTTGGTAAAGTATATTTTTCTATAAAATCTTCTATTCCATACGTTTTCAAATTCATTGGCATAAAATTATTCATAATATTTTATTATCTTTGAAAAATTTCTGATGTGTATTTGCAACCGAATATCATTTATTTACATCTTATTTCTCTTTTTTCTTCATCAATCTCTCCAGAAGTTTGTCTTTTCCAACAACCAATGTTCAGCTTTGTCGATCCTATTACCGTCTCTCTGCTCTCTATTTCCACTGCTGTCTTAATTATCTCCTTTCTTACCTTCTTTGAGATTATTCTGGTTTCTCCCTTAAATTAGCACATTAATTTTCAGTCTTACTCTTTTTCTAATACAAGATTTAAGGCTATAAAATTCCCCCTAAGTCACCTTAGCTATATCTCACAAGTTTTCTTTTTTTTTTGGTGAGAAAAATCAGCCCTGAGCTAACATCCATGCCAATCCGCCTCTTCTTTTGCTGAGGAAGACTGGCTCTGAGCTAACATCTATTGCCAATCTTCCTCCTTTTTCTCCCCAAAGCCCCAGTAGATAGTTGTATGTCGTAGTTGCACATCCTGCTAGTTGCTGTATGTGGGACGTGGCCTCAGCATGGCCAGAGAAGCAGTGCGTTGGTGCGCACCCAGGATCCGAACCCGGGCTGCCAGCAGCAGAGCGCGTGCACTTAACTGCTAAGCCACGGGGCCAACCCCTCACAAGTTTTAATATGTGATATTTTCATTTTTTCAAGTCAAAGTATCTTTGAATGTCTATGGATGATTTCCTCTTGATTCATGAGTTATTAAGAAGTGTATACTATTTTTAAAAGCATTGGAATTTTTATAACTTATTTCTGTTATTGACTTCTAAATTAATGCACAGTGGTTGTAGAAGGTGGTCTTGGTGATACCAACTCTTTGAAATGTGTTGAGCCTGCTTTTATGGCCTACTTCATGGAATCAAATTTTTTTTTTTTTTTTTTTTTTGAGGAAGTCAGCCCCGAGCTAACATCCGACGCCAATCCTCCTCTTTTTCTGTTGAGGAAGATTGGCCCTGGGCTAACATCCGTGCCCATCTTCCTCTACTTTATATGGGACGCCGCCACAGCATGGCTTGACAAGCGGTGCATCGGTGGGCACTGGGGATCCAAACCTGCGACCCCCGGGCCGCCGAAGCTGAAGGCACGCACTTAACGGCTACACTGGGCCGGCCCTGTGAAATCAATTTTTATACATTTTCCATATGCGCCTGAGAAAAAAAATTTTTTCTCATTTTTTGGTGCAAGGTTCTATTGTATGCCCATTAAATCAAGCTTCCTATTTATTTAAATCTTTTCTGTCTTGACTAAATTTTTTCTCTGCTTTACCTATCAAATACAGAAAGATGTTAAAATCTCTCACTGCTATGATGGATTTGTCAATTTATCCCTGGAATTCTATCAACCAGCTTAAAAATTTTATGTCTTTGTGGTGAATTTTAAAATGTGATGACACTATTTTCATTAATGTTTTTTACCTCATAATCATATTTGATATTAACTTAGCTACCCCAGCTTTCTTTTAGTTAGAAGGATTTTGTTCCACTTTTTCTTTCATCTGACAATCTGTGTTCTGACAAAATTTGTTAATTTTTATTTTGACATACATTAAAAGTCTACCCTAAGTAGGGGTCATAAAAAATTTAATAGAGTTAGTTTCATGTCACTGTGAGGTTAATAATATTTTTCAATCAGTTTATTTTGTCATGAAAATACCGAAATTTATATGTACCTAGCAGATTGTATACTAAACTGAGCAAGTCCTCACTGATCAGAAGTCAGTCTAACTTGCTCTTCTCCCACTTCATACCCCCCAGGAAAGATAATACCTGTATTTAACCTGCCCCATCTAAGAAAGGAGGTGAAGGGAAAATAGGACCTAATTATTGCAAGGCACATTTTGGGGAGGTTTTATTGTACTTGAACTTATTTCTCCCATCTTATCTTTCACTTTCTATTTGTCTCATTAGTTCTTTGATTTTTTTTCACTTTCTTCTCTTTGTTGGATTGTCTGAATTTTGTGCTTGTTTATTTATTTTCTTATTCTATTTCTTCCCTCCCTGGTTATATACTCAATTCCTATACTTTTAATGGCTTACCATGAAATTTTGTCATGTACATATAACAAAATCTCAAGTTATTATTTGACCCCACTCTTTCGAATAAGATAAGAATCTTAGAACAGTTTAAAACAAATTATCCTCTCCTGACTTACATACTATTATTGTCTAGTATTTCAGTTGTCCTTTTTCTTAAATCCCACAAATTATTAAATTCATGGTGTTTCCAATGGACCACTCAAACAGTCCATAGACCACTAGCTAAGAAACAGACCACCAGTGGTCTAGAGGGCATCCTGAGAAACACTGCTTGACCCATTCCCCAAATATGCTGTTCACATGCTTGCAGGTCTGCACATATCCTTTCCTCTACTAGAATGTCCTTCCACCCACCCTCTGCACTAGGAGAACTTCTACTCATTCTTCAACACATTCTTCAATATTTTCTGAGGGCACACTACTGTAAAGAGCTGGGCTTAGCACAGTTAACAAGACAGACACGGTCTGTGCCCTCAAAGCTTACAGCTTAGTGGGAAAAACAGCACTAAACATAGCATGTAATATATTCATTGAGCATTGCTAGGCATTGTTCTAAGCACTTCACATGTAGACTCATTTAATCCTTAAAACAAGCCTATGTGCTTAGTATTGTCTGTATTTTATTGACAGAAAGAGGCTAAGTATTTTGTCCTAGGTCACGGGGCTACTAAGTAGAGTTAAGTATTTCAAGGTAGGCATTCTAACTTCAGAAACTATACTTCTAACCACTAAGCTATAAAAATAAGCCCATGGTTACAACCCATAAGAGCTATGAAACAGAGCAACAAGTTGTATAAATAAAGAATAACTGCTGTAAGGGGTGGGAGAGGGCTAACTTAGATAGGGTGGTAGATCTCCCTGAGATAGGATCTATAGGCTAATAAAAGATGGGGGCAGGGTTCAGTGCCTTGAGCAGTGGGAATTTCAAGTAAAAGGCTCCAAGTCGGAAAAGACTTTGGTGAATTCAAAGAACTGAAAGAAACATGGCTAGAGCATAGTCAGCAGATTTCATCCTTGCCTACCCTAACTTCTTTGAAGCTACAGAAAATGGCCAGTCACTAAGAGAGCCAAAGGCAGGAATAACATAGGAAACATTTGGAATAGTCACTGTGGGAATGGAAGACAAAGGGGACCAGGAACAGAAATATACCAGGCTTCAGCCTGAAGGTCCAGTTGAGAATAAAGGCTGTACATTTTAGGGGTACTAATCTGTACATTTTCATTTTTCTCTAGAAATGTTTAATAGCCCAAGTGTTGGTACAAAGAAGGCCACTGCTAGGATGCTTCAGGATTAGGAGAAAGCAAGTAGGAGTGGAAGGAATGGGATTCAGAGGAGATGGATGGACTGGTGGAGATGAAGGGCCAGAGGTCTGTAAGTCAAAAAGCAAGTACAGTGGGAGCAAGGCAGTGTAAAATCTGGAAGAAGAAGGGTCAGAAAGAAGTTAGGATACAGGTGTTTAAGACTTCAGAGGAGGAGTTGCTTCAAGTTATGATGCAATCCTGAGAGGGAGCAGGTTGTGAAGCACAATGGAGATGAAAGTCTTAAGTGCTGCAGAAGGAAAGACACACTAAAGCTAAGGGGAAAGATGAGTCACCAGCTCAAACTGAAGTTTCCTAGGACTTATGGTTAAAAAAAACGACTGTGTGACAGGGGCCAAGGTCCTCAATAAATGTGGAGAGAGAACTAGAGATAAGAAAATGAGAGGAAAGAGGGATGGACATGAAGCATAAAAGGAAAACGGATTTTTATCTGAGAGCAGAAGATAAAGATACATGCAGCACACGTATTTGGGAGAAACTGTCTATTTCAGCTACACCCCACCCATATCTTCAACTGAAAAAGTAAAACGAGGAGACTATATTTTAACCAAGTGACTCCTACCTCATACTCTGATGACCTAACCACGGCTGCTTCAATCAGCACTTTTCAGATTTCTCTCCCAAGAATTCAGGTTTGAGAGGGACACCAAAAGACAGTGAACTGGCAGAAAAGAAGCTGACATTTGGAGTATATGAGTCACACAGGGGGCTGAGCACTCAAGGGAAAGTCCATGATCTCCACTACCGAAAACCCTAATCACTTTCTGCCTTTTAAAACATGGTGAGATAATAGAAAATATATAAATTGGTCTCTGCCCCCTGTTCCTGGCACAGAACCCTTGTAATTTCCTAGTGATAAGAACACTAGGAGCATATCTTGTTCTAATGTTTGTCTTTGACCTCACCCCTGACACAGGGCTCCTAAAACTCTTGTGACTTCCTCAGTGATAAGAGCACAAGGAGCATCTTTTGTTCATTGAGGCAGCTCCTGGTGGGCTCCTGGATGGCTCCTGAACGGGGGCTGATCACCAGAAAAACCAGGCCAGGATTAGAAGTTGGAATTTTCAGCTCCACCCCTCCACCTCTCCAGAGAGGGGCGAAGGGCTGGAAATGGAGTTAATAATTGATCACACCTATGTAAGGAAGCCTTCATAAAGATCCCAATAGCACAGGTTTCAGGGAGCTTCCAGTTTGGCAAATACATTCACACCAGGAGGGTAATGCACTCCAACTGCACAAGGACAGAAGCTCCCCTACTCGGGACCCTCCCAAACCCCACCCTGTGTATCTTTTCATCTGGCTATTTATCTGTATCTTTTATCATACTCTTTAATAAAATGGTAAATGTAAGTAAATGTTTCCCTGAGTTCTGTGAGCTGCTCTAGCAAAGTAATCCAATCTAAAAGGGGAAGGAATTGTGGGAACCTCCAATTTGAAGCCAAATCAGACAGAAGTTGTGGGTAACCTGGGGACCTACTACTTATGATTGGCATCTGAAGTGGGATGGGAACACTCTCTTGGGACTGAGCCCTTAACGTATGGGATCCAGGCAGACAGTGTTAGTATTGAGTTAAATTGTAGGACACCCAGCTGGCATCAAACAGAATTGCTTGTTGTGGGGATAAACCCCCACACATTTGGTGACCAGAAGTACCAGAATTGAAGTGTTCTGTGTGAGTAGTAAAGGAGACACAAAGGAGGGAAAACTGAAGTTTTTCTTAGACAAACATACTCTGGTATTTTTACTGAAGAAGTATAAATGCTAGTAATAATAATAATAGCCCAACGGTGCAAAAGAATATAGAATTCATTAGCCCCCAGGGAAATACAAATCCAAACCATGATGAGACACCACTTCATACCCACTAAGATGGTTAAAATCAAAAGACAGAAAATAACAAATGTTGGGCAGGACATGGAGAAACTGAAATCTTCATACATTGCTGCTGGGATTGAAAAATGGTGCAGCCACTTTGCAAAACAGTCTGGCAGTTCTTCAAAATGTTAAACATAGAGTTATCATATAATCCAGTAATTCCATCTCTAGGTGTACACCCAAGAGAATTGAAAACATATGTCACACAAAAACTTGCACGTGAATATTCATAGAAGCATTATTCATAACAGCCAAAAAGTGGAAACAACCCAAATGCCCATCTATTGATGAATGGATAAACAAAATGTGGTATATACTTACAGTGGAATATGACTTGGTCTAAAAAAGGAATGAAGTACTGATACATGCTACAACATGGATGAATCTTGAAAACATCATGCTAAGTGAAAAAAGCCAAACATAAAAGAGCACATATTGTACAATTCTATTTTTATGAAATGTCACAGAGACAGAAAATAGATCAGTGGTTGCTGGGGGCTTGCAAGGGAGGAGTAAGAAATGACTGCTAATGGGTACAAGGTTACTTTTGGGGGTAATGAAAATGTGCCAAAATTAGATAATGGTGATGGTCACACAACTCTGTGAATATGCTAGAAACCACTGAACTGCACACTTTAAAAGACTGAATTTTATGGTATGTAAAATATATCAATAAAGCTGTCATAAAATATTTATATATACAATTATGTAGCTACTTTTTATTATCCATCCCTCTGCATTACCCATGGTCTATTCTGGAGGTTGGGCTTGGAATTTGCATTATTCCTAAAGCTATCAGAAGGAATACAATTTCTGGCCTACGGACCAGGGAAAAACCCTCACTTTCCTGGAAGAATGTGACTTTAGAAGCAGAATATTACATGCCCCATATCCCACTGTCAAAATGCTGTTTATCTCCTTTTCATTTTCTAGCTTTTCATTTCCTCAGGAAAGTCTTCCTCACCCAATGTTAACAAAAGTAACGACCTGCCCAGCTCTGAGACCTGGGGTCTTCCTATTGAGCAGCTGCTTATAAAAGAAATCCTAAACAGAAAGAAGGAAAACGCTACTGGGGCAGATATAAAAGGAGATAAATTCAATAATAAAGCCATTTAGAAGAAACTTTTTAGATAATGTTGAAGACTAAAAACATTCACAAGAATATTAATATAATATAACAGCCCTTTTCCGTTTTCTGTTATCATTAAAAAAAAAAAATTAGTCCCTACGGTGTGTTTGTAACAAAAGAGTCTTCAAGGGCACTTAGACTTCAGAGATTATTGCTCTATCCTGTGAAATAAAAACATTAAGTCTGTAAAGGTGTGACTTACCACATAGTGGAACTGATGACCCTGGCAATAATGTTCAAATTGGCATCTCTGTTTTCTGAAAGTTTGCATTGGTGTTTCTTTGTCAGTCAGCTAGGAGAGCTTTGGAATTTTCCTCTTTTTTTTTTTTTTTTTTTGGTGAGGAAGAGTGGCCCTGAGCTAACACCTATGCCAATCTTCCTCTATTTTGCATGTAGGTCACCGCCACAGCACGGCTTGATGAGTGGTGTAGGTCCACGCCTGGGATCTGAACCTGTGAACCCCGGGCCACCAAAGCGGGGCGTGCTGCACTTAACCACTACGCCACCAGGCTGCCCCTGGAACTTCCCTCTTATCCAGTCATGTATAGGTTAAATAATGTGATGAATATGCTAGACTTCGTATCTTGAAACAATGAGTTCCACTATCACAATAGAAGCCAAATAGGAAAAACAGCAGCACTAAAACTCTTAGGCTCTTTCTCTACAGATTTAACACCTTCCTGCCATCCCACCTCCCCTTGAGGCCTCACAAGGGAGTCCAGTCTGAGCTTACGTTTCCCATTCCTACACTTTAGATGTATGTGTACATACAAATCAAAAAGGAAGAAAAAGGGAAGAAAGATATTGAATGTACATAATGAGGAATGGTGAGGCACAGGGAGTTGTTTTAAGCCACACTTACAAATGTAAATCTCTAATATGCAGGATATCAAAATGAAAGTCCAAAAACTCTCAAAAAGATGAAGAGCTTACCTTCGAAGAATCAACTCTGCTTGTTGTTCAGAAATAGTCAGACCTAGTATCTGGAGAGACTGGACAATTTCGGAAGCCTCAATTTTTCCTTTAAAAAAACAAGAGCATAAACTCAGACTCAGAACTGATAAGGACCTTAGTAATCACGAATTCCAAATCCCTCATTTTATAAGGGAAAGCCTTGAACTGATTAAGGCAAAATTATGAATTTAAGTGTTCTAGATTTGCTTAAATACATGTTGCAACTCAACATTTAACAAATATATTAAACAAGTATGCACACATTATTTCATTCAGAAATCATAACAGCTGTGTAGGTAAATAACGATATTCCATCTAAAGAAGAGACTGAGAGCTTACGTGACCTTACCACGTAACATGAAAAGGCAGCAGAACTGAGATTCAAATCGAGATACTCTGACTTTGAGGTAAATTAATTACGCTAGGATCTATTAATTTTAAAAGTATGTATTTCTACATTTAAATAAATGACTAGGCATTTATTATGTATAAAGATGCACTGCACTGGGTTAAAAGGAGGTAGAAAACGACTAAACGAAGCCAGAGTGTGGACCGTTCTTTCAAGAAATCTGGAAATAAAAATAAAGAAAACAGGGGGCCCAGCCCAGTGGTGTAGTGGTTAAGTTCCACACACTCTGTTTCGGTGGCCCAGGATTCATGGGTTCAGATCCCGGGCGTGGACTTACACCACTCATCAAGCCATGCAATGGCAGCAAACCACATACAAAATGGAGGAGGATGGGCACAGATGTTAGCTCAGGGCCACTCTTCCTCAACAAAAAAAGAGAAAGAAAGCAGGGATAGTAGGACGATGGAAGAGGGAAAATTATTATTATTATTATTATTTTTGGGGGGGGGGGTGAGGAAGATTGGCCCTGAGCTAATATCTGCCAATCCTCCTCTTTTTGCTGAGGAAGACTGGCCCTGGGCTAACATCCGTGCCCATCTTCCTCTACTTTATATGGGACGCCACCACAGCATGGCTTGACAAGCGGTGCGTCGGTGCGCGCCCAGGATCCAAACCAGCGAACCCCAGGCCACCGCAGCAAAGCGCGCGCACCGGGCCGGGCCCGGGAAAATTATTATTATTAGAGAAATTAGAGCATGTTTGTAGACAGAAGAAGAATCAGAAGAGAGGAAGAAAGAGAAAATATAAGCAATAAATGTGATCAATACTGCATTTCCCTCAAGCAGCTCACAGACTCATGAAGATCCTAAGACTAATATGCATGAAATAGGATGAAACAAAAAGTAAGAGAGGATCTGAAGCCAAACCAGTATTAACAGCAAAGTTCTCCAGGAAAAGAGGAAGACAAAAATGACTGTTATTGGTGAAAGGAAAGACTCCATTCAAGAGAAGGACTTTAAGAAATGAAAGGATTTGGAGAGAATTCTCCTGGAGAGAAGAAAGGAGCAGCATGAGATCCTGGAGAATGTAAGGACAGTTAGAGGCATCAATCTGTTAGCAATGAAATTCCTTAAATACCCCTCTGAATATTCTCCTTTATAATTGTACTCTTAAAGAGAGACAGTTGATTCTCATTCATAGGAGTTACGTTCTATAATGTCACTGTTAACCAAGAATTACAGAATACTGAACCATTGTTCCTATGGAAAACATACGGTTAGGTTCCTATGAGCCTCTGGTCACAACATTTTCATTAACCAGTCAATACAAAACTTTGTTTTATGTGTGTTTCTGTTTAAAGACACCCTATTAAACACATATTGTTGATTCATTAACATTGAACTCCCAGTCAACAGTACTATAACGCATGCCTGAATGAAGCTTATCTAACAGACGTATTTTCTGCCTAAGGCATATTACGGCCTTCTTGCATTTAGGAGTGCTAGAGAGCACTTCAGCACAATGCTTGGGAGCCATTTTAAACATCAAAATCACCAAAAACAGCACAAAAATGCAAAAAACATGGCACTGAGTCCACTGCAGAATGACACCTGTTGACAGTAGGAGAGCTAAAACAAGAAAGCAGAGCAACACAAGCAGAGCATCGTCATGTTCTAGCTCAGCTAGAAATGTGCTCATCAAGCAAATGAAATTTGTTGCTGCTCTGCACACATCCATGAATGACCGCAAAAGTGCTGCAGGTATTGATTTTGGGGTTACTTTTGGGGTTAAATTTTAGCAAGTAGGCAAATTCTCAAATACAGAATCCATGAATAATGAGGATGTGACTTTTGCTTTGTTTTAACAAAGTCTGATAAACAAAAATATGAACCTATAATGACAAATTGTTTTAAAATATACAAACAAGATAAATTAAGCGGGAAATTGTTTGCATTTACTACAAACGTATCACTAAAATTTCCTCTTTAATTATTGCCTCTGGTTCATTTAGATTTTCTGAAATGGACAATTGATGTGTGCACACTTATGCACTGGGACAATCGACCTCTACTTATCTGGAAGACGATCCTGAGGCAGCTCCATCTCCCAGCTCTGCCTGACCTAAAACTATACCAACAGTCTCTGCAACTAAACTGTAGAGGATTCCAGGTGGGATGAAAGTTTGCAGGGAAAAAGTAAAGTTGATTGTAAGAACTGAATTTTGCTAGAAGATTGGACTAAAGCTAGACTTGGGGCATGTAATGTAAGGTTTACAGGAGGTAACAAATGTTCCAATAGCACTACTTTTCACTACAAGCTCAGTTCTTCCTGGCTGAGAGTCACAGACTTGAATGGATCATCAAATCCATTCAAAGGGTTTAGTTGTTTGTTTGAAGGAACTTTCCATGAATATAACAGAAGTTAATGTTCAGTATAAACCAGGGACTGGCAAACTATAATCCTCTGGCCAACTAAAGCCGGTTACCTGCTTTTGTAAATAAAGTTTTATTGGAACACAACCATGCTCATTTATTTACATATGGCTGTTTTTGCACTATGGCTGCTGAGTTAATGTTTTTGCACTAGGACAGCAGAGATGAGCAGCTGAAACTAAGACCACATGGCCCACAAAGCTAAAATATCTGGCCTTTTACAAAAAAAGTTTGCCCACCCGCGGTATAAACCATATTTTCTCTCAATCTGTTTGTTTAACTTGTTTCTTGAATAACAAGTGTGCAAATGGAATGGTCTTGACTACTCATACGTAGGGAGGGGTTTGAGGCTGCATTATAATTTTTTAAAATAAATTCTCTCTTCCTATTAAAGGTTGCCTCTGGTGATAAGGGTTTTGTAATTCCTCCCTTTCTCCTTCTGTGGCCTTTGCTTTCTGCTCTACACAACTGGGACTCGAACTCCAAGCTATGAATCTAAATAGAGAAACCATAATCCAAATCAGAAGGTATATATTTAAATGTCTATCTGCTATTTTTTTCCCCTAATTTTCAGGATCAGAGAGTATCTTCTCTAAATTAATTCTTTCAAAAAGACTATCAAATGTAAAATAATCTGAAAGTTTTTTAAATTTTCAAATATATACTACGTATGCCTATATATGAACAAAAATAATCTCTCTTGCCCAGAGAGCAAGGAAACATAATTATTATTATTATTATTTTTGTGTGTGTGTGTGTGTGAGGAAGATCAGCCCTGAGCTAACGTCCATGCTAATCCTCCTCTTTTTGCTGAGGAAGACCGGCTCTGAGCTAACCTCTATTGCCAATCCTCCTCCTTTTTCCTCCCCCAAGCCCCAGTAGATAGTTGTATGTCATAGCTGTACATCTTTCTAGTTGCTGTATGTGGGATGTGGCCTCAGCATGGCCAGAGAAGCGGTGCGTCGGTGCACGCCCGGGATCCGAACCCGGGCCACCAGTAGTGGAACACGCGCAGTTAACCACTAAGCCACAGGGCCGGCCCCATAATTATTATTTTTAACCCATAGCTTTAAGTCAGACCAGCATAATGTTCCACAGTTAATATTTTACAAAAAGCCCTACTCACAGTTTATAATTCAGCGGACAAAGCTATCTGTAAGTTTTCTTCACTACAAATATTATATATAAAAATCACATTACTAAAAAAGCAATTACCAACACTAGTAATGATTATCACCTAAAAAAAGAGAGACTAAATATACATTGCTTTAGACTCTTGGAAGTATGAGAAGTGCTTCTTCACAGCGAGTGATTAATAGAAAATAAGACATACCATCATTATTTTTGTCCAAACTCTTAAATGCCAATTTCATTTTTTTCTCATGGTCTTTAAGGTACTTCATAAATTCTTCAAAATCCAGCTTCCCATCTTTGTTGATATCACCGGTAGAAAAAATTTTCTACAAAAAAAAATTGAGATTTTTTTATATGGACTAAAATATTAAATTATTTGTACATATACTTCAAGCAGATTGGCTGTTTTCCTATGGATTTGATAAATCCCAAGACAGAAGACAAACATTTGACCTAGCATGAGATTTAAATGTCTACAATATTATTTTTCTCTTTGATTTCCAAAATTAAATAATCTTTTCCTAAAGATGACCTTTATAAAAAGCTGTTATATCAAACTATATCAATAGAAATCATTGCTTTTGAGAAAGAAATAAAAATCATGGTATTTGATATTACATGTAAGCCCTCTCCCACTGCCACCCAAAACATAAATAAACCTCTGCCTATTAAGACACTTGCAATCACCCATCCAAAGCTTACAAATTCTATTGGTTTGATGGTCATGCTCTTGGGAAAATAATGCCTCATTGTGGCAGGATAGTATAATGGTCAGTCCTCCATGCTCTCTCTCTTCAGAGAGAAAAAAGTCTGAAACTCATGAGATGCAACAAAAGCTTAGAGGCAAATTTATGGTTTAAAATGCATAATTAGAAAAGAAGAAAGGCTGGAAACCAATGATGAATCATTAAAGCTTACTTCAATCTCAAGAAATCAGAAAAAAATTAAACCAAAAAAAACGTTGAAGGAAAGAAAGAAAGAGTAAAAAGTAATAAAAAAGAAAACAAATAACGCCATTGAGAGGATCAACAATATTAGAAGATGGCTCTTTGAAAAGACCAATAAAACTGATAAATGCCTGAAACTGGCAAATAACCAATGTCAGAAAGTAACAATGAAAATCACTAGACACTATAGACATTAAAGATGTTATGAACAACCTTATATCAAAAAATATGAAAATTGAGATAACATAGACAAAAGCCTAGAAAAAAAGAACTTACCAAAAATTGGCCCAAATCAACAGAAAATTTGAGTAGTCCTATAAGTATCAAAGAAATTTAATCTGCAATTTAAAAACATTCCCATGAAAGAAAATTATAAGCAATGTCATTAGTGAAATAGATGTAAAAATCCTAAATAAAATGGTAGCAAGTCAAATCTAACAATATACAAAAGGATAATACTATATATGAAATGGATAATACTCTTACTATATAAAATAATATATGTGGATGTAAAAATATATAAAATGGATAATACCACACACACACACACAAGATGAATGTATTCCAGTAATGCTAGGTTAGGTTAACATTAAGAAAAGAAAATCTTGTAATTTACTACATTAACAGAATAAAAGAGAAAATCATAGATCATCTTAATAAATACAGAAAAAACATTTGATGGATTCAACATCATTCATGATTAAAAACTCAGAGGAAACTAGGCATAGGGTGGTGCTTCCTTAATCTGATAAAAGGTATCTACAAAGAATTCTCGCCTTTTTTAAGTTAGTGTGAGAAAGATTCTCTTATCTGCCACCTAAATAGCCTTGATTCCAAAACCATCAATTATTATTTAGTTTTAAAAGCAAATACATTTGTGTTGTGACTGAAAAATAATTATTGCTATTTAATTACCTTAACAAATTAGACTGAGGATGATTTTCATCTGGAAATTATTTCCTGATTACTCAACACATATACTGAGATTTGCATAATCCAAGAGAAAATATCATATAGCATTCTGTGGCTCCACTTACGTACTGAAGTTTCATCTAAGAAGTTTAAGTTTGGGTCAATGGAAATATCAGTGAACATTTTGAAAATCACAAATTAAAGGGCATCCCTGTCCCTATCTTTGTACAGCTTGATTTTTTTACCCATATTGCTTTAATTTTTCTTATGGTAAATAAGGACTCCCAGAATTACAATTGCCTAATGACTCCGACTTACAATAATACGAAAGACTAGGGTTTGACTTCTGAATTTTCTTGTGTATTCCTCTGTGGAAATAAATGAAGACCAATCCAATGAGAAAAGTAAAGGCTATTCAGTCTGAGCTTGCTATAGCAAGGGAGTCAGCCACTGTCACGTGCGTTTTGGCAGGGACTCAAAGGCAGGCAGAGGAGTGGGAAAGCTTTATAGTGGAAAACAGGAGGCTTCATGTGTACCCTGAGTAGAGGCTGTTGTCCTGGGGAAGCTGTAGGCGAGCTAACTAGAAGTGGGGCATCCTGTGAATTTGGTTAGGGGTGCATATTTGGCTTTCTCTGGTTGGTCCTAAGTTGGAAGCAGGACAAAAATTACGTGAGCTGTCAGTTATTAATCAATTCCTAGCCATTTTGGGCTGATTGTCAGCCCAAACAGCCCATAACAGAAGTTGTTGTTTAGCTTCCTAGATTGTCACTAGAGACAGCAATCTGGCTTCCTGTAAGTCTGACTTATAGCAGGCTGGTTTCCTGGGCTGTTTATTGTAGATAAGAGGTTGGTTTCCTGGGCAGGTTGCTGCAGGTTGTGGGTCAAAGTTTAGTTTTAAATATTGTCTAACCATTGTCCATTTGAATATTCAGTTTCCCACCTTTCACAGTAAAAAAACAAAATATCATTCAAAAAGCCTATTAGTTATCAGAATAAAAAATTATATCTTTTCTTTCTCATCACTATATAATGTAAGTACCATTTCTATTTTTAAAAAATCAATTGAATTCTCAAGCTATATAAATGAATTTTCTACCAGGGAAGCTGGAGACAAGGGAAAAGACTCACATCAGAACTTCCTAGAGATGTCACCGTCACCTGAGGAAAGGCCACATCAGTGTTCCCCTGAAACATAAGATTCTCTGTGGTTGATGCAGAGCCCTCCAGAGATGCCTCTTCCTTGGTTTTGATATGTAAGCCCTCATCAGTCATCACTGGGTATAAAAAGCCTTTATATGGTCACGCCATCTCTTGCCAAAAACAAAAGACGTATTTGCAAAAATTTTGTTTTGATAAGGAAGAAATGTGTTTCAAAGGATTGAACTTGTTTACGGCATAATCCAGAATTTCTTATGCAAGGTTAGTTTGTATCAAATGAACAAATACAAGTCATACTTGAAAATCTAAGTATAATCCAAGTATAAGAAAATCTAAGTACAAGTGTGAAGGACATTTAGCTTTAAAAAGAAAAACACTTGAGTTTTGGGAGCAAATTAAAAAAACCAAGTGAACTTTACAGAGATTACATTTTGAACTGTCCTGGTCCACCGACAACACCCAGGCCAGACTTCTGATGCTTCAAATGAGGAAACCAGGACACAGTGCTTGGTGCATAGAATGTGCTAAAAACATATACGATCAATGACTGAATGGATGATTAAGATAGACTCCTCAAGTTCACACAGCTAATTGGAAGAGTTTTACTAAATTTTAACATGACAGAACTCAACCAACAGTTTTTTGAGCACAAAGTACCAATTATCTGAAATAAATTCAACCGTCCTTACTCTAATGGATCTCCCAGTCTACTTGGTTAAACATCCAAAGAACAAATATAATTGGAAAGTAATAATTATATTCAACAATAATTTCCAAACAGAAAATAACTTGGAAACACAGAAAGAAATATATATCACACACTGAGAAGGAGCCTGTAATCTAGGCTGCTGGGCAAAAAGAAGGATTCGCAAAGGAACTGATGTGCGAGCTCAGTCTTTAAAAGTCTGATAATTAAGTCATGTTATTAGGAAACCTCAGCACCATTGAAATCCCAAGAGTACAAGCCATTTAAAATGCCCTCCTTCCAGGAACAGAAACCAAAATACATTAGAGAATTTCCGATTACTGTCCCACTCCCAAACACACATATAGTGATTATCCCAATTCCCCAAAATGGGGAGGGAGCATCTTTGGCCTACATGCCCATCTAGGTTACTAATAACAGGTAAGTACATTGAACAAGGTGACCCCCAAAACAAGGTTGTAGTCAACATCTCGAGAGCAATTTGAATTTGGAAGTTTTATTAGAGCCAGGAAGAAAACTGAGAAAAATGCTTGAGAAAAGTATTAGCTGTTTTGAGTTATTCTTAATATAGTAACGTTGGTAATCGACCTGAAAACTATAGTGGGGCCCAGGTCAAGCTTGGGAACGCATAAATTTGGCTTCACTCCTCTCTGCCCAAGGCCTCTTCAGGGCTCCCAGCCCCAACATCTCTCTGACCACAGCCCCACTGAGGCCCACCTTCCCTGCCTCCTGGAGCTGAATGACTCCTCTATCCCGTAGGCCTTCCTGAAACCCAAGGATGTCCAGGGTCCCCTCTTCGTTATGGTCCAGGTACCAAAAGAGTTCTTCACAGAGGCCGTCCAACCCGGATGTCTCTGGCAGCAGAGGTGGTACACGCTGCAGCCCCCGTGAGTCTTCCGGAGGTGGAAGGGAGAGGGAGGAAGGGGTTATCCGCCCATCACATGTCCAGCTGGCAGAGACCCAAGATAGCAGCGTCCTCTGAGGCACCAAAGACAAAGCATCTGCGAGAGGTAAAGCGCAGGAAGGGGAGGGCACATCGCAACCGCTCCAAGGCAGAGGCATATGGTTCACCAGGAGCCTCATGCCTGCGAGCCTCGGTGAGGGCTTGGCCCGGAGGGGGAGGCCATGGCGTTCAGGCTGCGCTCCCAGGTCAGCTGATCAGACGCCCTAGTTCCCATGCCACTCAGGGGGAGCCTAGAGGGGACGACTCACGCTCTTTCCCCAGAAACTTCTTGAAAGACATCTGCACAGAACTGTCTCTAAAGGTTGAGCTTCTTTTTAGAGAAAAGTGGGTAGGGGATGTTGGGACAGGGACTGTATGTAGGGCCATAATGACTGCTGGTGAGGTCCAACATTTTTTTCAAGTTGTTTGGTCTCACCTTTCTAAGAATTCTTCTAAGGTTGAAGTACTTAAGAATTGTTGTAGTGAAGACTGGGAATTGGGAACCTAATGAAAAATCTGCCCACTTGAGTCTTTCCTTCTGTGATTCTCCCCCCACCTCCACTCCCAGTTCCTTATCTTCACCCAGTCACTGCAGTGGCTCCACCAGGCCTGCTCTAACCTCCAGGGTCCCAGCTCTATCCCTACAGATGTTGGCCGTGC